TCCAAAACAATTTCCTGGGACGTCTTGTGAAGAAATATATGAGTGTACACAAGTTACTGTTTCAACTGAGCATATGCAATTGATTATCTGTTCTCAGCTATGTGAGGACATTGGTGTTAAATAACAGGCAATGAACAAACTGCCTCAAAACATAATCCCAGTGTTCAAAATTAAGGGGAGCCCTGGGGTCCTTGAAATTACCTACTATTTTATTTAAGTCTGAGGACTCTTGCTTAAGATTAAGCAGTTCCTACAGTGCACCTTCCCTAGAGCCTTCCTTGTCTTATTGCCTACATGTAACTTTTCCTGGAGCCTAACTTCCCTTCTCTGCCTAGTGCCTACTTTCTCTTTTGTGTCTACCTTCCCTTCTTTGCCTAGTGCCTACTTTACCATTTGTCAACCCTCCTTTCTTTGCCTAGAGCTAACTTTACCACCCACTTTAATTTCATTCCTTCCTTTGTGTCTACCTTCCCTTTCATTGCCTAGTGCCTACTTTACCATTTGTCTACCTTTCCTTTCTTTGCCTAGAGCTAACTTTACCATTTGTGTAATGCTTCCCTTACCTTTGTCTGCAGGCCTTCTATTTTACCCTTTGTCTTTCTTACCCTCCCTTCTAGTGCCTACTTACCCTTAGTGTTCACCTCCCTTCCTTTTTGTGTTCTACCCTCTCCCTTTCTACCTAGTGCCCACTTACCCTTTAGTGTCTCCTTCTTCTCTTCCACTTTTTTCTTTGTGTCTAACTTCTTCCAGTGCTAACATTCCTTGTGTACCCTACTTTTTTTCCGTCTGCCTCCCTTCTTTGTGTCCTTCTAGTCCTGGTCTTTTTCTTCCTTCTTTCTTCCCTTGTCTTTACCTAGTGCCTACTTCCCTTTAGTGTCTAATTCCTCCCTTCTTTGTGTCCATGTGTGTCTACCCTCTTCTTACCTAGTGCCTACTTTCTTCCCTTTACCTGTGTCTGTCCTCTTTTTCCTCTTTCTGTGTTCCATGTGTGTCTACCCCTGTTCTTACCCTTTAGTTCCTTTGTGTCTCCTTCTTTGTAGTGCCTACTTACCTGTGTCTTCTTTTCTTTGTGTCCTTCTTTTGTTAAGAGCCTACTTTTGCACTTCCTTTTGTCCTTACCCTTTTAGGTTCAGCCTCCTCTTGCCATGCCTCCTACCCTTCCTGTACCTTAGTGCCCCTTCTTCCTGTGTGTCCTTTGTGTGTACCCTCCTTCTTTAATGTCCTTCTTTGTGCTCAATTCCTCCCTTCTGTGTCCAGTTCCTGTGCCTCACCTCCATCCTTTTTGTGTCACCTCCTTCTGTCCCAATGTGTCCTGTCCCCTTGGTGTGTGTACCATTCTTTTACCTCTTTGTCCTTGTGTCTTCTTCCTCCCTCTTTGTGTGTCTTTTACACTGTGTCACTTCTTTTGTGTCCTTCATCTCCATTGTGTTGTGTCCTCCCTTCTGTGTCAGACCCTACTTTTGACCCTTTGTGGCTCCATTCTCCTTCTTTCTTTGCTTCTACCTCTGTGTGTCACCCTGTCTGTGTCAGTCCTCACTGTCATCCTTTGTGTCACCTTTCTTTGCTCTGCCTCATCCTTTGTCAGGTTCACCCTGTCTGTGTCCTAGTGCCTTCTTTGTGTCCTCCTTCTTTCCTAGTGCCTACTTACCCTGGTCTTTGTGTCGGCCTCCTCCCTTCTTGTCTGTGTACTTCTTGGGTCTTTTGTGTCTAACTCCATTCTTTGCCCAATGGGTCCTTGTGTCCTTTGTGTCTACTTTTCCTTTTGTCCCTTCTGGGTCCTACATTCTTTGTGTCTGGCCCCACTTCTTGCCTTTCAGAAGTCCTTGTGTCCTTTGTGGTCCTGGTCTTTGCCTCCAGCTCACTTTGTCCCTTTGTGTCCTTCTTTTTTGCCTGGTCCTCCATGTCTCCTGTGTGTCCCTTCTCCTTCTGGTCTTTCTAGGTGCAGGTGTTCAATCCTCCCTTCTTTGTGCCTACTTATGTGCCTTGCCTCTGGGTCCTCCTTCACCCTCTTCTTTCTTAGGGTTCTAATTCTCTGTGTCTTAGTGCTCCATTTCATTCCTTTAGTGCTCATCCTCCCTTCTTTTGCCTTGTAGCCGTCAAACCATATAGTTGAATATTGCTCGACGTGAAAATCCAAACTCACTCACTCCTTTGTGTCTAGTGCCTACTTCTTTGTCTTCTTTGTCTAGTGCCTCTTTGCCCAGTGCCTGCTTACCCTTTGTGTTCACCCTACCCACCTTTGTGTCTACCCTCCCTTTCTTTGCCTAGTGCCTACTAACCCTTTGTGCCTACCCACCTTTCTGTGCCTAGTGCCTACTTACCCTTTGTGTCTACCCTCACTTCTTTACCTAGTGCCTACTTACCCTTTAGTGTCTACCCTCCCTTCTTTGCCTTGTGCGCCGCCATATAGCTGGAATATTGCTGAGTTCGACGTAAAACTAAACTCACTCACTCACTCTTTGCCTAGTGCCTACTTACTTTATTATTATTATTTATTTTTTTTTTATTATAGGATATTTATACAGTGCACATATCGACGTAACTAGTGCATGATCAAGGTGCTGGTATTTTCCTCGATCATTGGATGTCAATCTCAATGGCACAACGTATTATCAATCTCAACTCCCCAGGGATCATACAACTCTTCCAGCCACTGGGCACACAGAGTTTTACGGCTTTTTCATCCTTACCAGGTACCCATTCACAGCTGGGTGGACTGGCACACATTGTCACAGTACTTTGTCCAAGTTTACTGCATGTTGCTGTACCTGCAACTAGGTGTTTGCACGTATAGATGTGGCCAACATCTTGTCGTATACCAACATATTCATGGGTTCTTTTAAGTGCACAGGGTTGTGTACTGTACACTACCCTTTAGTGTCTACCCTCCCTTCTTTGCCTAGTGTGTACTTTAGCTTTTGTCTTCAACAGCAACCACTTTGTCTACAGTTCACTTTGATTTCCTCATTTTATTTTTCCAACAGCAACCACGTTGAATACAGTTCACTTTGCCTTATTCGTTTTATTTTTCCAACAGCAACAACTTTGTCTACAGTTCACTTTGCCTTATTCGTTTCATTTTTCCAACAGCATCAACTTTGTTTGCAGTTCACTTCACCTACACTACTGATATTTAAAAAAGTACTAACTTCGTTTACAGCACACTTTGCCTTGTGCTTACTATATTTTCTTGGCCAACAGAGCACTTCATTTTGTGAATGCTTTATTCAGGTTAAGCACATGGTACAACACCACAACTAAGTCATTTCCAGTGAATTCAACAAAACTGACATGAATATGAAACATTCAAATGTTCACATAATTTTGCATTCATCCAGCCTTTGCCATAAAAAGTGAAAAAAATAATCAATATGAACCCTTTATTTCCATACTATCATGATTTTAATTGGCAAGTAAGCTTAAAATAGCAGCGCTGCATATTTTAATGCTTAACAACATGCTTAATCACAAATATACGACCAAACTTAAGTCTGAAAAGAAAATGAAGCCTGGTAAAACAGATGATACAGCATGCCTGCAAGAGGGGGTTAAAATTCCTCTTGCCAGGGATAAAACAGGGTTAGCATGTTTGAGGCACAACAGTCCAAGTTAAAGCGCTGAAACCAGAGGCTCTGTAATCACTCCCAAAACAATCACATTTGGAGGCGTGGCGTTATGGTACCAAGCTGTACTGCTGCTGTGAGCGACACATTTACATGGGCTGACATATGATTCATATACAAACACCATTTCTGCTATTCCTGTCATTCGGCAAAAATTACAACACTGCATACATTCATTTGTGGAAATTTATGGACGTCAACTTTTGCATTAACAAGATATGCAATCTCTGAATGGCATTAAGAAGTGATACCCATAAAGGAGGAAAATTTATGGATGTCAACTTTGGTGTTTTTGCGGAACATGAACTTTTGGAGCATATCCTTACTCCTTCATCAGCTGAATGAAAGCTAGGAAGCAGAGAGCATATGTGTGTACATGTGACAACAACAATAGTGATAAGATAACAAAGGTGGATGAAAGCTAGGAAGTAGAGAGCATATGTGTGTACATGTGACAACAACAACAATAGTGATAAGATAAAGGTGGATGAAAGCTAGGAAGCAGAGAGCATATGTGTGTACATGTGACAACAACAATAGTGATAAGATAACAAAGGTGGGCGCTTAACAGCCGAAGCCAGCACTCAAGCTATTTTTACAACATTTGTTTAGCAATGATTTGACATGACTAGATAAATTGATAGCCATAGGTGCGACGGGAGCTTCATAGGACAGTGGTTCCATAGGTTTAGAGATCAATCTATAGACAAGACTGGAGTTCCATAAGACAGTGGACCCTCACAGTCCTGTTAATGGGTAATGGCAGCCATCTTTATAATCTGATGAGAATTTTGTGAGCACTGATTAGAGACTTGCAAAGTTTTGGTGTTGTCATGAGTTTTGGGGCAGATGTAGAGTGAGTGAGTATGGTTTAACGCCGATTTTAGCAATATTCCAGCAATATCACAAGGAGGGACACCAGAAATGTGCTCAACACATTGTACCATGTAGGGAATTGAACCCAGGTCTTGGGCATGACAAGCAAACGCTTACACCACTAGGCTATCCAACCGCTCTTGGCATATGAAGAAAATGTAACAGATCACGGATGGACAGATTGATCGTTGAACATGGAAATATTTAAAAAAACAGTGAGTAAATGAGTTTTAGCTTTTAGCAATATCACTTGGGACACCAGAATGAGCTTCACACATTGTACCTATTTGGGTAATCAAAACCACGTGAATGCTTTCCCCACAAGCCTACCACACCTACACTTACAAGTACAGTTGGATATATAAGTTCTTTTTCAAAGAGGGCACCCTGTCCAATGAACATTATCTGCAAACCTGTAAACATGCTAAAACCTAAACCTCCCTTATTTGGAATAAATGAAAAGAAACTATTATCTATAGTAACTGAGAGGAAGGAACATACCTTTTCCTCTTCACAGCTCCCAACAACAAGGACTGTTGTGACTTTCTGCTGGAGGACATCGGTGCAGACTTTGCTGCTGCTGCTGCTCCTGTGGACTTCTCTCCATCTTTTGTTGAAGCCTTCTCTGCGACTTTGGCCACATTTGCATCTTGCAGTTGGTCAAGGAATCACAAACATTCAGGGTTAACAATAACAGTGAGGGAGTGAATACTATTTTATGTACTCATCAGCATGGCAAACCAGTGGTTGATAGCAAGTAACAACCAATGAAATCAGGGTCAAGCTGACATATAATCATCCAGGTCACAGTGTTTACAAGAAGCAAGAGGTCCTATAGACCTTTTCCCTCAGGGAACCCAAAAAGAGTTTTCCAAAAGATTGAACAGACATTACATGAACCTATATAGTGTCAGCTTTAATATACATTATCATGCATTACAAATCTCTAAATACAAAGTGTAACTGAATTCATTTGTATTTCAAATCTATAATTCAGAGGTTTCAAAACAACAAATCATCTAGATAAGCAAGAGGAAGATTACTCTCCATTTCACAAAGATAAATTTAGTCACAAACACTTTCCTTCCCGATGAAATATGTGATGTGGTCAGTAAGTTGAGAAGTCTGTGGACAAGATTCCAAAATTACCCATAGAACAGTGATGAAAAGAGCATTGTTTGATCGAATCGATTAATAAACAGTCATCAACATCATTTGCTCAAAGCCAATCAGAAATGAATATACACAATCCTTATCAAGTTAAACAAAGGTTTCACCACCTAGGAAAATGAAAGAAACTTTGCAAGAATCAGTTTCTAAATTTACAAAATTTACATCTCTATGGTGTTCACAATATTTATAGATGGGTACCATGATCCAAGCTTTCTCATGTGCCTACAATGTACTATATATACTGTAGGCACTGGAAGATATTTTTCATCATGTTCTATTTCCATATATTTTGCCACACAGGCATTAGACCCTGGGAAGCACAACTGATCATTTTGCACACGACTGTTAGTTGTCATATCTGAAACTGCCTTCATCCCGTGAAGATCCGGGTTAGAATTGGTCTTCAGCAACCCATTCTTGTTGTAAGAGGTGACTAATGGGATCACGTGCCATGTGGTCAGACCCGCTGACTTGGATGGCACATGTCATCGTATCCCAATAGATCGATGCTCATGCTGTTGGTCACTGGATTGTCTGGTCCACACTATTTACAGACCTCTGCCATATAGCTGGAATATTGCTGAGTGCGGCGTAAAACCAAACTCACTTACTCACTGAAACTGCATTATCAAGTAATGGTACAAGTCTGAGTAACAGTGTAACCTTTTATATTCAAACTGCTTATGATTTATAGATTGTTGAGATTCATAAATGGTTGTAAACCATTTCAGGTATTGGTTAATAGTTGTGACACGACACTTTCATCATGGCAATCCAAACGTTATCAATAACTGGTTACCAGGACATATGCAGAGTATGCACTTGAGTTTAGTCCAAGGGGAGCAACTCCACGAAAACATTGTCTTGCACAAATCTTTGGCAAGTCATGAAGTTCTGAACTAATGAAGCAGATTACTTAGCAGTGAGTATGTGAGGATGTGGGTAAGTGAAGGCTTACACAAATTTGAAAATTATTTCACGTGTGAGGTCAATGTGAACGGAAAACACAAAGAGAAGATGCAACTTATTTGCAAGTGTTTGATGTTTACAGTTTGTTTAAACGAACAAGCACAGGTATCAGTGTCAGTGAAAGTCAGGGTTTTTAACCCCAAGCAATGTAAATCTTGACTCAGCTGTTCAGACTAATCAAGGATATTCTCATCTCCCTGAATATCGAGGTCTCTTCATTTAGCCTCTCTTTCTCAATCTGCATCTGACGCCGAGACACTTCATCAAGGAACTCTGCTTCATCGTCCTCCAGCCCCTTCACAGCATTACCTGCCAACACAGGTTACTCGTCAGTGTTCAATCTTATGCATGAATGTCTAACTCTAAGGTCCTTATGTTAACACTAATATTAATAGCTGAAGACGTAGGGGTCCCTAAATTCAGTTACTGTGTGCTATTTCCCCAAAGATCCCCATCATTGTCTTTACCACTCATATACACAATCAGCTGACAGTTGGAATAAGATCAGCAACACTAGTATCTATACAACAGCATCTAGTATTCAAGTGACCTAGGTTTACTGCCATTTTCATCTCTATTGCTCTTATATCAAGGTGTGTCCACCATTCTGTTAGACTTTCCAAAATTTCCTTTTATTCAGTTTAAAAAGTTTGAATTGAAAACAACATCAATGTAATTTTTTGGAATGGAAGTTGTCATTTTGAAATTAGTGTAAAAATGCTGGAGAATGCTGCTTTCTGATTGGCTTATGTCAATTTAATGTTGGTCATTGAACTGATAGGTCAAAATGTGCAAATGGATGTCCTGACATGACCTGTAACTGGGCATCCTTGCAGCAGTTTACAGCACCAGGGGGTGGTGAGATAGCCCAGTGGTTAAAGCATTCGCTCTTTATGCCAAAGGCCAGAGTTTGATTCCCAACACGGATGCAATGTGTGAAGCCCATTTCTGGTGTCCCCTGCCGTGACATTTCTGGAATATTGCTAAAAGAGGCATAAAACCCAACTCACTCACTAGAGCACACTGCTTTCAGTGTGATTGGGTGTTTGGGCATTCAGTCAATATTAGGTGAGTGAGTGAGTTTTGTTTTATACTGCTTTTAGCAATATTCCAGCAATATCATGGCAGGAGACACCAGAAATGGGCTTCACACATTGTACCCAGTCAATATTAAGAAGACCATAACATGTACAAATACAGATTTAAGGTTGATCATATTCTGACTAGTAGGACATACTGAATTTAAACTGTTCTTCATACTCTTGCTGTTTCTTGTCCTTTTGTTCTTGGAGTTTGTCGAACAGTGACCTTGTGTCTTCCTCTGGACATTCTGCAAACATCAGACACACATCATGCACATTTCTCCTTGTACCATATGGCAAATATAAACACTGCAAATAGGTAGGTATCTTACCACTGGTGGCAGTTACTACTGTAAAGATCATAATATGGTTACCTCTGCCATTTTGGCCACATTGACATGTAGACTGAGACAAGGATGAACAATAACACATAGTCTGTTAGTCCAAGACAAGCACAAATATTGACAGAGTTGTACGTTTTAGAGCTGGTCGTCAATCACAATATACAGAGCATTACTCAGAGCTCAGTAATCGATCAATAATTGGTTGTAATTGTAAACCCTACCACAAAACTCATGTGGGCAATAAAGGAACACAATCATTACATTAAACCCCACCACAAAACACATGGGGGCAATAACGGAACACAATCATTACATTAAACCCCACCACAAACCTCATGGGGGCAATAACGGAACACAATCATTACATTAAACCCCACCACAAACCTCATGGGGGCAATAACGGAACACAATCATTACATTAAACCCCACCACAAAACACATGGGGGCAATAACGGAACACAATCATTACATTAAACCCCACCACAAACCTCATGGGGGCAATAACAGAACACAATCATTACATTAAACCCCACCACAAACCTCATGGGGGCAATAACGGAACACAATCATTACATTGTGGTTTAGGTTTTGGTTTGCTGGTTTATGCTGCACGAAGACATGTGTCAACGAGCAAGCCTGACCACCCAATCCCGTTAGACACCTCTTACGACAAGCATGGGTTACTGAAGACCAACTCTAACCTGGATCTTCACAGGTGCATAACATTGTGCAACAGGCACTGATTAAAACTATGATTAAGACGATCAAGGATACTTCCTGTTGAGACGCCGCCGCCGGGAGTATGTTGTTTACATTGCAGTCTTATGAGGTGGGAAACTACAACTGTTGTTTATATTTGATTCAACAAACAAAACAATAAGAAACATACTTTCTGAAGTATTATCTTTATGAAGATCGATCAGTCTCCCAAGCTCATCTATAATTTCTGAGCGGGATTGATCGATTGACCAATTATTCAATTAATTGCTCCAGCACTAGTAGTTATATCCCAAAATCAAGTTATTTTACATAAGCACTAGTCAGAAATGACCTTCAAACCTGCTGGGTATGACAATAGGGTACTGGGAGCATATTCTACCCCTAAGTCCTAAGTCTACCCTCAGGATCTTTGCTTGAATGACTGACTCACTGAGTATGATGTTATACTGTTTGAGCAAAACGAGCTGATTGGACACCACGGAGGGGCTTAACAGAGCATACCCATACTGGAAATGAAGAATGGTGTTTTAGGTGATGAGAGAAAGCTTCTCAAGGCTAACCCACCATCCATGTTTCAGAACTTATAATTTCCACTTAGGAGTTCCAGAACATGACATGTACCTAAGGGATCATCAGCTTTGCGAACTTTCTCCCACTGCTCTTGTCGAATACGTTTTTTCTCCTCCACTTCATCCTCTGTGACAAATGACTTTAGAGCAAAGCCAGACGATGTACTCTGTCCGCCAAAGCTCATTGTTGATGTAGTTCCTAAAATAATACAAAGAAATTAATTCTTTCAGTTAAAGACATTCAATTCCATAGTATTATTGATAAACTGATCACCAACATTTTCTTCAGAAATTTCTTCAACAGTAGAACTTTACAGACAAAACCGAACTTCAGCTAAGAAACCGAACTTACAAGCAAGGCAAATAACCCTAAGAATGGAGTTATTCTACCATGTATGAAACAGCACCACCATTAACCAAACTGACACATACTGAACAATACAGAGCTCTATAGGCAAGATAAGCGATATATCAGCAACCTCCATGCTTACCAGTTTACAGAGGGCATTTTCAGTGTTGTGGTCTATATTTTTACATTCATTCACAAATCCTAAGTAGCCAGAGTCTAGTGAGCTCAGTTAACTTATGATAGTCCACACAATAACACTAACATGATAGAAAACATTACGCTTAAAGCCAGATAATGGGACTCAAGATATTTTGGGATAGACCGATATAGCAGCATTTAAATAGTAGCAACAAATGATCATTTTAAGGACTCTGTGAGTCCAAATCAAGACACAATATGCCAATATATCCTCCAGCATGTTTAGGGTCAAATGTTCTTAGCAATCAGAGACGTAACATGTACACGAGACGGCCTATCAACTCTTGTACGCGAGACGGGTGAGTGTCCTGTCCTACTTGTGAAAAATAATATAACAAGTAGACATGGTCATCATCAGTCAGAGACGTAACGTGTACACGAGACGGCCTATCATCTCTTGTACGCGAGACGGGTGAGTGTCCTGACCTACTTGTGAAAAATAATATAACAAGTAGACATGGTCATCATCAGTCAGAGACGTAACGTGTACATGAGACGGCCTATCATCTCTTTACCGCGAGACGGGTGAGTGTCCTGTCCTACTTGTGAAACATAATATAACAAGTAGACATGGTCATCATTAACTCATCAATAGCCCCCGCCACAGTGTTCTGTTCTTATTTGGTTCCTGGTTTTTTTAACTCCACCACAACATTCACGTCCTGAAAACACATACCACACTTGGTTTCCCTATCTATAACGGTTTCTGAGAAAATCTGTTCCCTATCTATAACGGTTTCTGAGAAAATCTGTTCCCATTGGGCATAACATGCACTAAGTCAAGAAACGCATAACAAGGGCCATAACTCTGTAAAGAATTGTAAGATGGTTTCATTTTTGAACTCCATCAAGATATTTGTGTCCTGAAAATACATACCAGTATTACCACATCCGGTTTCCCTATTCATAACGTTTTTTGAGAAAAGCCTGGTCTCACCTGTACATACTTTGATAAAGGTGACATCTGAATGAAGAATGAATTAAAAAAATTCGCTTTTAGTTCCCCTGACAATATTGCCATGACTTGTAGCAATGACATCAGATCCTGACACAGAATGGTATTGTTTAATAAATAGTAAAGAATAAATGGATGAAAATAAAATGAAATGTACCTCGTTGATATATGATAAAGATCAAATTATGGGTGGAATGCAGTTAACCATGCACAGCCCAAGCCAGCATTGCCTGCCCACAGCGGAGCAATTATCCCACTATAGCATCCGATGTCTCGCTATATTGTAGTTTGCCTCATGATCCAGTGCTCTTCAGTGGCACTTCTTTAGAGGCCTATTACGATCCTTAGAGTTACTGTTTAAGGGTTAGGATTTGGTTTTAGGGTTAGAGTCTTGTACCCATTCCGATCCTTAGGGTTAGGGTTTAGGGTTAGGTACCCTTCCCAGTCTTTAGGGTTAGGTTTAGGGTCAGGTACCCTTTCTGCTCCTTAGGAAGCTGACACGTCTTCAGAGGCAAACAACCCTTTCCAGTCTGGAGGGTTTACAGATAGACTTTACCTTAGGACAGTGTTATTTGATTATATCCAATTGAAACACATTTTGCCATATCCCAGAAGTGAGAACGCAGTCCCAGAAACAATGGTGCGGAAAAAAATGAATCGGATTGCCACGGCATAGTGAGGTGCAATCGTGAGAAATGAAAACAATGGTTAATGGTTTGTTTTCAGTTCTAACTCTTGTGCTTCATTGCTGTGGTGATGACGATTACACGAGCACTGATTAACTGTGATGGCGTTCGTGGTCTGAGGTAGATCATCCGCGAATTATGTCACTATTTAATCAAGTCAGTAATCAAGCGACGCGTCGACTAACTGCAGCTCTAATCAACATGATTAATCTGAAAAGGTGCGCCCAGTAAAGTGCTGTACTCCCCAAAATATTGTTTTAAAATTTCTTGTCTGATTTTGTATACCGGTTTTGAAATACCATTTTTGTCAGATTCAGGTAGAAATGATAAATCATCATGACCCTAGGGGACACAGTGCTTGTCCATCCGTAGCAAGCTATACAGTAAACACGGTAATCAAAATTTACGGTAGTACCGATCCTGAAGTTGGGCTGAAAAGGAATCTAGTAGCGGCACTCGCAGATCAGACGATAGGTTTATTGCGCTTATTTATACCAGTCATCTGAATTAGTAAGAAGTGAATGCAAAGATGTCACTGACTATTACACATGATTCTCAAAATTTTCTATAGGTGAATAGATAAAATGAAAAAGTAATACCGGTGAACAGTCGTTCCAAACAATCCTTAAAACGCTGTCGTGTTTACAACAGGAAGTACATTTCGCGCCGTTCCAGTTTCGAAAAATGAAGCATGTAGTGGACAACGCCGAGAATTAAAAGCGGATATATTTTGTCAAATAATCGGGAATGAATAACATTTGCAGATCCAATCATATCCAGGTGACAGCCATAGTCAAAATTCGTTGAATTTCGCAGATAAAGTATTGACTCAAACACAATAAAGATTGTTATTTTATTACTGAATTCGTTTTAGTGTTTCGCTTAACTTTAGACATCCCCTAACACCAAGTTTCGCGTGTAATGCTGCGAAGTGAATTTCACTTCCGACTTCCGTTTGCGTCAATGTAAAGAAGCGGAATGTATTTGCGATAATAAATTCATACTTTAGTCCTGATCAGAGCGTTCATAATGGCAGAAGGGTCATCCTCTGTCCCTAGCAACAAGGGTGATTTGATTGAAAATGGGAAGAACAAGACAAAGATTTGCTGTAAAAGATGCCCGAGTTTAGTTCTTTCACCTAACCAAGCAACATTGACTGAAAAAGAGGTAAGCAGTATTGTCTTGCTTAATATCATAAATATGTTCTAGGATCCTACTTTCAGAACATGTAGTTCTTGTTCTATTTAATGTCATTATGAGAACAACCATTGAATGAATTTGTAGATCTTACTTCTGGAATATTGCAGTGACATAAAATATACATGTACACCTAAATCAAATTTGATTGAATGTCATGAAAAATGATAGCAAAGTCATCCTTGTTTGTGTGTACTTTCTTCAGTTTGTGACTTTGTGTAACCTCAGAATGTTAAGAGTTTAATGAGATTAGGGACTTTTGCAATGTTCTCAGTAATGAACGGTAGCCTTAGTAGTGTATAAATATACTGAGTCTTGATTACCAGCCAGATATTTAATGTTGTTAAACATTGTGTATGATGCTGAAAGTGGAAAAAGTTTTTTCAGGTCCTTGACAGATATATATTTTCATTTATTCAAATCATGAAGAAGCTGATTCCATAAGATTTCTAAACTACTCGACTATGGCTGCTGTATCATCGCTTTTGTGGGACTAATGTGACACATGCGATCCCAGAGTAGAAATGTTCCCATCAACTATCATCATGGTTATATGATAAGCAACTATCATCATGGTCATATGATAAGACTAACGGGGATCGGGTGGTCAGTTTCGCTGACTTGTTTGACACATGTCATCGGTTCCCAATTGCGCAGATCGATGCTCATGCTGTTGATCACTGGATTGTCTGGTCCAGACTCGATTATTTACAGACCGCCGCCATATAGCTGGAATATTGCTGAGTCTGGCGTAAAACTAAACTCACTCACTCATATGATAAGAGGCAGCTTAATGAATCTGGTTGTCAGGCTTGTGCCTCACGGTCATTAATGTCATTGTGGAGCGAATTGTTGCTCATATCTTCAATCACAGGATTGTGTGGTCTATTTACAGGCTGCCACTATATAGCTGGAATATTAATAAGTGTGTTGTTATGCAACAAGTACACACACACTCTAATGCTGAACTGTGATTGACCTGCATTACTGTTTTTTTGTATTTTCAGTTTTTCCTGCCATATATGTATAAAAAGAAAGTGGAAAGCCAGCCTCATGATGGAGAAACCCTGACAGATTACTGGTTGGTGGAGGACATGTTTACGTTCGATAATGTTGGTTTCTCGAACACTGTGGGCTCCATCAAGTATCTTATATGTGCGGATTGTGAGATTGGACCTATAGGCTGGCATGACTTGACCAACAAGAAGGCGTTCTACATCGCAGTTGACCGAGTACAGCATGTTTAACAACAGCTGGGAACTAGGAACATGTATCATAGACTGTTGTTATAAGAGTCTGAATTTACAACAAGAACAACCAGATCATGAAGTCTACTCTTGTTAAAGATGAAAATGAAATACATTCCCCAACTTTCATTCATCATCATATGCAATATCTGCTGTTATTCATTATAAGGCATTCACCACATAATGAGATATCAGTTCCCTGGGCATTATTGCCAGATGAAAATTAAGAAGTCTACTCCTCTCTGTCCATATTTAACACTTATCAGAAAATCATAATAATATAAGAACTACTTTTCAGTTGTTTTCTTTTTGTGACTGGTTACAAAACAAACGCTACTGCAGGGCTTGACACTGCCTTGTACCACTTGGCATGTCTGTGCATGTAATGTATAAGCCTGCTTTATATCTACCAGCATCTTTTTTACCATGTTTACCAAAGTTATTCCAAAATACATGTATATATTGGTGGTGTATATCTTTTGTTATTCAATATATATTTTTTCTGGAATACAGATAGTTATTTTCTGGACATTAAGTGATTGTCATCCCAATTTGCTGAAGATATTTTTAAAATTTGGAAATGACTTATGAAAGGAATTAAAATGTGCTGAGGCCATTTGTCTTGCAAAAATAATACAGATTTTATCTCCTCATGGGAATCTGGGTCAGAAGAGGCTCCAGTCGTGAGAGGAAACAGTGGATTGGGTGGTCTGATTTGGTTTACTTAGTTTATAGCATGTGCTTATGCCTCAACAATGGATGGTTGCTCACAGTATTGATCACTAGATTGTCTGGTCCAGATTCAAATTTACCGGTCGTAGTCATATTGTTGTAATATTGCTGAATGCAGTGTTAAACAACAAAGAATTGAGTCACTATGGTCTCATGCCATTATTAGCACTACTCCAGCAATATGATGATGGGGGACACCAGAAATGGGCTTCACACAATGTACCAAAGTGGGGAATCGAACCCGGGTCTTCTGCATTATGATGAACACTTTAGTCAAGTAGTATACCCCACCACCCAAACAACAAGCAAAGTGTATTAGATCACTGAAGAACCAAGATTTTCTTTTAAGCCATGGCAAAGAAAACAATTATATTGACCTGCCAGCTATGTTTTGTTGCTGTTACTTAAAAGTTCCATCTCAATGTACAATACTTGGATTATCAATTCTTGACTGATATTTGATTATGTAACTCTTTCATAAGGAAAATAACCAAAAATGTTTCAGGGTTAACTATTGCTATTGACCAATGAGGTAAATGTTGAGTTAAGTAGGGTTGTTTACATGTCATTATACACAGCCTACACCAAAGCAGACAATATCTATAGGGGATAATATGCAACTTCATAGGTTTATCTTGAGATCACTTGAAAATTAGGATGTCAATATTTACAATATTTCCACATTATCAAGCTATTAAATGTTGGTTTCTAGTACCCTCGTGATGTCATCCTAATATTACTCTTCAAAACACCATGACAATGTGTTCTTGTTTATATATAACTTCACTCGAAATGGAGCTTGTTATATTTCTGTTATACCCTGTGTGTTATAGTCAGTACAGAGTTGTGTCCCTTGGAATAGCGGGTCACGCACTTCCTGATCACAGGTTGGTTGTTACAAGGGTTGTCACATATCGGAAGGTTTTCGAATAAATTAGTTGTTTTGTTTGGTTATAGATGAAATACTTCCCATTATGACCTATGATAAATCAGTTCAATGCCTAATGAGAATCAGTTGTTTGATTAAAAGGAATTCTCTGCCTTCTCATCATAATCATGATATAATTAACAAGTGTAGGCACTTTCGTTGAGATGAATTATTAATTTGGTATTCATAAATATATCACTATCAATACCGGGAATATATTCTATGTCCCCCTAGTCAACACCATGCTCTTGGGTTTGAAGAAGATCATGAATGTCTGGAATCTGATTCAGTTTGGCTTTCCCTGTCATCTAAACCAAACCTGATACAATAAAACTGTTGAAGTACACTGGACTACAATTAAACAACCCTAACAGATGCTCACACTCAGCATGCGAGAGTCCCCTGGTCCTGTAGTCCCTGGCTAGTGAACATTCATCAGGACCACTAAATTATAAGTTTGCAGTGGTCCTGGTGGACAGTCAATCTTTTTATTGATAGTTAAGTAAATCTACGAATGTTATTTTGGACCAGCGAAGTACAGACAGGGACCACTAATTATTGTCCACTCACTGTTCCTGTGGTCTAGTGGGAAGTTTTGAAAGGTGTCTTTCCCTGATACTGTTAGCTGATAGTGGTCTAGTGGGAAGTTTTGAAAGGTGTCTTCCCTGATACTGTTAGCTGATAGTGGTCTAGTTGGAAGTTTTGAAAGGTGTCTTTCCCTGATACTGTTAGCTGATAGTGGTGGTCTAGTGGGAAGTTTTGAAAGGTGTCTTTCCCTGATACTGTTAGCTGATAGTGGTCTAGTTGGAAGTTTTGAAAGGTGTCTTTCCCTGATACTGTTAGCTGATAGTGGTCTAGTGGGAAGTTTTGAAAGGTGTCTTTCCCTGATACTGTTAGCTGATAGTGGTCTAGTGGGAAGTTTTGAAAGGTGTCTTCCCCTGATACTGTTAGCTGATAGTGGTCTAGTGGGAAGTTTTGAAAGGTGTCTTTCCCTGATACTGTTAGCTGATAGTGGTCTAGTGGGAAGTGAAAGGTGTCTTCCCTGATACTGTTAGCTGATAGTGGTCTAGTGGGAAGTTTTGAAAGGTGTCTTTCCCTGATACTGTTAGCTGATAGTGGTCTAGTGGGAAGTTTTGAGAGGTGTCTTTCCCTGATACTGTTAGCTGATAGTGGTCTAGTGGGAAGTTTTGAAAGGTGTCTGCCCCTGATACTGTTAGCTGATAGTGGTCTAGTGGGAAGTTTTGAAAGGTGTCTTTCCCTGATACTGTTAGCTGATAGTGGTCTAGTGGGAAGTTTTGAAAGGTGTCTTTCCCTGATACTGTTAGCTGATTGTGGTCTAGTGGGAAGTTTTGAAAGGTGTCTTTCCCTGATATTGTTAGCTGATAGTGGTCTAATTGGAAGTTTTGAAAGGTGTCTTTCCCTGATACTGTTAGCTGATAGTGGTCTAGTGGGAAGTTTTGAAAGGTGTCTTTCCCTGATACTGTTAGCTGATAGTGGTCTAGTGGGAAGTTTTGAAAGGTGTCTTTCCCTGATACTGTTTGCTGATAGTTGTTTTGATATTATGAAGTGCAAAAACGAAAAAGGATCAAGATGTAGTTTATTTTTTAAAAAAGGTACTTCCCTAAAAGGATGTCTTATATTGTTCTATATTCTCTTGTATGACAATGTAAAATATATGACAGTGAAGAAGCAATGTAGAAGAATAGCCTGTATATTTTATACCTAATAAGTAAAGATTATTGTCCGTCATTTTCTGCCTCTTGTGTACTTGCATTATTATCAAGAATATTTGCACAAAGAAATAATGCTGGTCTGTTGTTTTAATAAAACAGGACAGTCGTGATAGTTGAGGCAATGAAATATAATTCATGTTTTTCTTCCTCTTTGTTCCTTTTGTATTTTGTCATAAACATCCGTCTGTAATGAAATGATGTCTGCCAAATGCTACTTTATGTGCCAATCAATTTTGCTTTTTTCTGTTTGTGAACAGCTAACCTTGCTAACAGGAATACATAACTGGGAGACAATAAAACTGTTTCTATTTACTGATAAATTGTTGTATGTTGCTGACCCTTGGATATTGGATATTTTAGGTCTAGGGCACTGAAATTTGCAATTCAGAGTTGCCTCCCTTAGTCATGCTAGGATCTGAGGTCACATGTTAAAAGTTTCACCTAGATTATGATTGTTGATCTGTCAGTACGATATTCCTTCTTGTGGGTTTCACCAAAGGGAAATGACTTGCACTTTTGACCACAGACGTGTCACGCTTAGAAACAGCATTAGAAAGACATATAGGTATATAGACCCTACCCTAGTACTATATAAAAGGATCGTACTTAGGTAGGGTCTATATACCTATATGTCTTTCTAACGCTGTTTCTAAGCATGACATGCCCCTGTGCTTTTGACATTCCTCTTGCATTAGGTTGAGTGTTTTACTGTGTTCTACAGTCATATTTATGAGGTAATCTTGCAGTGAATAATATCCTTCAGTGTTCCAAGAATTGTCCAGATATTCCGGGGAGACTGCTGGATGTTTTGACAGCTTTATATCCGAAAGTCAGCTTGTTTAGGATAGTGCTGTGTTTATATGCGGACACAGTTGTAAACTGGTTGCACCGAGTCCTGTATACTGCCAGTATTCAATACAATGATATATTATCTGTTGATTGATGGCTTGTCTGTAGTCTGTAGCAGAAACGGACATGTACAATATTTGTAATGCCATACCCAAGGTGATGTCATGGTCAAGGTGATGTCCATCATGATATGATGTCGTACCCATGGTGATGTCTTACCTGACATGATGTCGTATCCATGGTGATGTCTTACCTGACATGATGTCGTATCCAAGGCGATGTCTTACCTGATATGATGTTGTATCCATGGTGATGTCTTACCTGACATGATGTCGTATCCACGGTAAAGTCTTACCTCACATGATGTTGTTTCCAAGGTGATCTCATGCCCAAAAGTGATATTCTTCCTGAGGTTCACGCAAAAGACCCAGGTTCGATTCCCCACATGGGCACAATGTGTGAAGCCCATTTCTCGTGTCCCCCGCCGTGATATTGCTGGAATACTGCTAAAAGCGGTGTAAAACTAAACTCAGTCAGTCAGTCAGTCTTCCTGAGGTGATGTCATGCCTGATGAGATGTCATGTCAAAGGGGATGTCATGCTCAGATTGATGTCTTTTCCTAGGTGATGTTGTGCCCAAGGTGATGTTATGCCCTGTGTGATGTCATTGCCGATGTGTCATCATTTACTCAACATAGGACATCATTAATGCTTGGATGTCAAGTTGATATTAGAGGGAGCTGCCCATTTTCGAATAATGAAAAACCCATCACCAAAATATTTGATTTTTGGTCATTGTTGTCACAGTCTGTTTCAATCGCAAAAGTGTGACAGGCACAGAAGTAACTGAGAGTGTAATGTATAAAGCGAGATAACTCTGGTTGGTGTTTAATGCTGTTCACATCTGCAGGCTATAATCGACATAACATGATTCACAAAGTCATTATGGACATGCACCATTAGAAAGCTATCACTACCCCTAGTGATACAGGCGATGGCAGAGTGCCTGTTTAACTTGGTCAGGCACTATATCTCAGTGTCTGCTGTTATGGACATGCACCATTAGAAAGCTATCACTACCCCTAGTGATACAGGCGATGGCAGAGTGCCTGTTTAACTTGGTCAGGCACTATATCTCAGTGTCTGCTGTTATGGACATGCACCATTAGAAAGCTATCACTACCCCTAGTGATACGAGGCGATGGCAGAGTGCCTGTTTAACTATATCTCAGTGTCTGTTAGGCACCATTAGAAAGCTATCACTACCCCTAGTGATCTCAGTGCCAGTCTGCTGCTCACTGACAATAATCAGATGTGACAGGTTATTGAGACAGAGAGACTGTTAAACCATTGTACACTTTTGTTGAGATATAATGATAATACTCCACTTTTATAGCGCCATTCCCCAGATAGCAATGATATGTTGGCCCATAGTTGGCCCATAATCACCGGTTTGGTTGGCCCATGGTTGTCAAACTGACGATGGGCCCACTTGGATATGCTCATCAGCTCCACAGTGGCCCATCATGTTGGCTCATTGTTGGGCCAATGAATGAAAATTCACACAAAACCATGGCCCATAGTTGGCCCAACGTAGTGATTTTGTTGGCCTTATGTTGGCACCACCATGTTTCAACATTTAGCTCTTTCTTGACCTTTGTACTAAACCATGGCCCATACTTGGCCCAACGATGTGATTTAGTTGGCCTTCTGTTGGCACAACTGTATTTCAACATTTAGCTCTTTCCTGACCTCTGCAATCAGAAACATATATAAACAACACAAGTTAATCAAGTGAACTATTTAATTTTTTTCATTGTTATTTGAACATTATTGTATTTCTTGAAAATATTCTTGTCTTAGGTCTTTGGCTGTAGCAGCTGACAGGTTTTTGAACTGTTCCTGAAAAAAAACACCCAAAAGTTTCATGAAACTGTCAGATATCATAATTTTAGACATGAGAACTATCGTGAAAAGGACATAGTATTTGACCTTATGTTTTATTGAAACATACAACTTAATGATTGAAAACTTCTTGTTTATTGCACAGAGTGACGCTAGGATGTAGATTCTTACACTGTTATCAAGCTAAAACCAAAATGATGAGAAGTATATCGTAGTATGTTTTGACAATCAGCAGATTAACATTAATAATAATATGTAATTGAATAACAACTGGTACATTATTGGGAGAGGCCAGATGGGGAAGAACAACAAATGGAATGCTCAAGCCAATAAACAAGGGGGGTTCAGGTTAAGCCAAATGCTTGATGTTGATAGAGTCTATAGTTTGATTAGTTCTTCATTGGTCTGTAGAAGTAGTCATGTGACTGCAAAATTTGGTTTTGTTGCAATTATTAGATTTTGTGTTAGTGAGCAATTCATTGGTCTCTCAAATGAAATCAAACAGACTATGTGTTGGTGGATTACTGGTTAAGGCTTGTGAAGACAGGTGGTTCCACATGTTCTAGGTCATGGCTGCTGAGCAATGTTCTTAGCGTGCTTGATCAGGGTTGAGATGACACCAAACTTAGTTTTAGGGGGCTGGTTTGACAAATTGAAATCTTATCCACCAAGAATCAGGACTTCACAAAAGAAAACTTTTGGAAGCCATCAAAATCAGCTGCCACAAACCTTTGATCAATAGAGACCAAGGATACTACATACCATTGGGATATGAAGAACTAATCAAACTATAGACTGTATCAAATCCCCTATCAGGTTGTTACAACCTAACATTCCACCCCTACCCTCCCTTCCTTGTTAATTGGTTTCATCACTAGATCCATTTGTTGTTCTTAGTCCCCAACTGGCCGCTCCCAATTCTGTTTATTTGACAAAACATACTATGTACATGCATATATACTTCTCATCATTTGGTTGTAGTCACTTTTAGCTTGATAACGATTGTAAGAATCTACATCGAAGCGTAAGCTCCTATACAATAAACAAGAAGTTGTCATCCATAGAGTTGTATGTTTCATTTTTGACTCACCAACTTCTAGCATGCTGTTCAAACAATGTTTTATTTGGATATGACGTGTAACTACTATAACTGTGACACATATATCTGATATGATGATATTTAGCAATTATTGGTTGTAAAGATGAATAATAGAGAGAGTTGTATATGGAAACAGGAGTGTAACTGACAAACACATAATATTAATAAAGTAAACATAATAAATTTAAATAATTTAAAATGAAATGAGATTTTATCAAAGTGGTTAAAACAGGCTACCTAAAGAAAAGAATCAATTAAATCTTTTATCTACTCAATCAATTGCCTTTCAATACAGTATGTGTCAGTTTCTTTCGCCTAAATGATGATTTAAACCAATTATTTCACAATATATTCGCAATTTAGTAATACAGAAATAACAATGCATATTTACCAGTTGGCCTCCAGAAATGTAGTGTCGTCTGCTCTTTGAATATCAGGTAAAGCTATCAATGATGAAAAGTTTGGTATTCAGTTTGGAGAAAACAACGCTGTAAAATTCACTGCATCATAATTGAAAGATAAGGAAATGGATTCTTTCTTTTTGTCTGTGTAATTATTTCAACTGTCATCAAAATCTTTATAAGAAAACATGGCTATAAATGGCCGTGGTGCTCACTTCTTTTATTCACAATGTTGGGCCAACGGTGGCCCAACTTTGTGAAATAGTACAATGAACAGCAACATTGGCCCAACACAGATGTAGCACATGCACTGTTTTCATAATATGCCTCTAATCTTGTGAGTGTAAGACTTTCAAACTTGCATATTGTAGTATAGAAGGATCATGTTTGAGAAATTTTCCTTATGTTTAACATGAGAACCAGAGAACCTATGAGCTGAGGTATTCAGGGTGCACGTGATCAGTGCAGTCTAAGCGTCAAAATTCACCGTGCAGAGTTGCATCCCTTAGTTGTGAACTCGTCCCAGATTTATCTTGATTATACATCATAGTTAGCGCCATACCACTGTGTTTCAATAGTAGTTAAAGTCTAAAGAAGTGCTTTACTTCATGCTTTTTCCTGACATATAGCTCACATGCCATAATATAATGTTATATATTGTTCAAAGTAGTGCTGGACCCGTGAAATCCGGTTTTGAATTGGTCTTCAGTAACCCATGCTTGTTGTAAGAGACGACTAACAGGATTGGGTGGTCAGACTCGCTGACTTGGTTGACATGTCTTCATATCCAAATTGCGTAGATCAATGCTCATGCTGTTGATCACTGGATTGTCTGGTCCAGACTCGATTATTTACAGACCGCCGCCATGTAGCTGGAATATTGCTGAGTGTGGCGTAAAACTAAACTCACTCACATACAAGTGGGTGTGTGGCCTATAAGACTGACAACAGTCTAAGACTGACAGACTGGTGGAGGTCTTGCTCAATGTTTGTTTAGGTGTGAGAGGTAGAGAGTATGCAGGGAGAAAGCGATGCACCATTTACAAGAACTAGTTGCATGTCTTTGTTCCCTGTGTATGCTGGACCGCTGCATATGATGCTACAGTAACTCTATGAATGTACATCCTGATTGTTGAAAATATACAAGATAACAATTAACTCATCATGTTTGGTTGCCAAAAACCTTGAGAACATTAAACCCGTTGAAATAGTGATGTTTTTGTCTTGTTTTTCACGTGATTATTTATGGTGTACTAAAACAAATGTCAAGGGGTGTTGATAATGTTGTTTATTAGTTGATCTCGGTTTCTCAGTTACAGTAGCTGTCTGTGACATGATATGAGGAGACTGCTATAGCTGGTCGTGTCAGCAGAGTTCAGAGAGAAATTTGAATGCCCGAAGTAATATGAATAGACATGGCTTATTTAGATTGTCAGCTATCTGCCTTCAAAAACATTTCTGCTTTATATTGAAGTTATATTGAATATTCCCAATATAATGGTAAATCCTGAAATATGAACATTTTGAACTTTAAAATTCTCATTTAAAATCCTCAGTGGTGACTGGCAGATTTTAAAGTTCCTGACATTTTCCTCACGGTTGAGCAACTCAAGACAGAGACAGTAGCCAGATGACGTGCCATGTTTGGCAGCTTGTCTCCTCAGAGTTGCTTGGTTTTCGGTCTGGGCCCATATAGAAGCACATGCTGCACATGGTTTCCTTGGGCAACAGACTTTGTTCCAAGTATGTTTTTACCCATCTGTGAATGGGTACCTGGAAGGATGAGATGATAATGTGGCACCTCCCTTGCAGTTTGGATTGTATACCTCCCAGTGAACTTGCGATGAATACTAAATGCACTCTGATATAGTAGTTCTTCCCTTCATCTGAATTCAACTGAGTAATCTAAATGGTAGTATAGATGCCTATGTTTTCATGGCAAAACAAAAAGTATCACAGACATGAGGATTTGTTCAGTCAGTTTATTTGTAAAAAATACATTAAAAAACAATATGATAATAAAAATTGCATTAGCTGGAGCAGATGATAATGTTATTTGGTTATTCTACAATGCATACTCTTCTTTCATAGATAATGAAATATGGTGGTCAATGGTCAAAATACCTTTCATACCTGTATCTCACACAATATCACAAGCACAATTACCCGAAGAAAAAACCCCAGATTCAATAAATCATTATCACATTTGTAATTATTATGCTTTCAGTTCAAAAAATCAGAATAAACACTCTGACCTTCTTAACACTATGTTTAAGTGTAGAAGTTACAATGGTCATAGTTCAAGGTCACTTTGTGGGACAGGTCAAGACTGAGTGTTAGACCCAGATGTTAAGTATTATAATACAAAATAGATGCTTATTATGGCACTTTTCAACAGAACTGGATTGCTATTGGTTACAATGTTTAACAATTATCACATAATGTATGCAAAAAATTGCATCCAATTCTACTAATCTAAAAAATAATTTAATAACAAATATGTATATAACTTCAATAGGTGCACATGTAAAAAAAATCACATTAAAGGGACTGTATAAATAATTTAATTCAATTAAATAGATACTCAACAGAGATAAATAAGTATGTAAAACCATCTTCATGAATAAAAGGCAAACAATAAGTAAGAACAGTAACAATGGTAATGACATCACTCATCTATAACACACACACACTGTAATGTACATCATGTGGACCGTGACACCTGTCACTCAACACTATTGCTATGTACAAGATAGGATAACGGCAAACACCTGTCCAGAAACAATGCCCCTAAACGAGCAATGGGACCGACCAAATAGTAATCTGGTCAGTCACCAGGAATTGCATCAATTGCTTATTAGATTTACTCAAAACTAGCTGCCAATGTTAGTTTCTGCCAGTGATGGGCATGATGCTTGAGCAAAGTTTTACCCATATTGATTTTATGATTTCATCAAGTCAATGGGACACTGTTTATTGCAGTAATCTGTGATAGCATTTGTAGTTGGTAGAAAGATAAGTGTTTTTAAGATAACATATTCTAATAAACTGGAAATTATGACTGGAACAGAAATATTAAAAGAGGTAATAGTTATTCCAGTGGAGATATGGGGGTTCTTCGTAGTCCTTGTCATAATGGTGGAGATATGGGGGTTCTTCGTAGTCCTTGTCATAATGGTGGAGATATGGAGGTTGCTGGTAGTCAGTCTCACAGTCCCGGAATCACATAATGTTCCCTTTTGAATTGCTAATGCCCTAAATGAAGCAAGTCTTGATAACTTCAGATTCTGAATCTCCCATCTCACTGGGACTTCTTTTTAATTAAAAAAGAATTGTTTGTTTCTATCACGATTATACATATTCAGAGACTAAGCGTTAGTCTAGCATTACTGGGTGAAGATGTGGCTACAGTGTGTGATCTGAATGTTTCCTTGTCATGGTGCTTGACAGTTGCTCCTGCTATCAACCTCAGGGTTTTCCTGGCCCCACATGATTATGAACTGGAAAAGATCGAATATTGCTGTGACATGATCACCTTGGAGCTGAAGATAATCCTCTAGTGCTGACAATACTCCTCTAGAATTGACAATACTCCTCTAGAATTGACAATACTCCTCTAGTGTTGACAACACTCCACTTGTGCTGACAATTCTCATCTAGTGCTGACAATACTCCTCAAAGCAGCAACTTGACGTTACAGTTCCTTCTTAGTAAATGAAGATCTCTGATCAATGAATTTGTGAAGAAATTGTCACGGCTTGTGTTTTCTGGCAGTGTCTTGTGTTCCCCCTCAAAACTAGGTCAGTCATCACTGGGTTTATCAGGAAGTATAACATCTTTAGGTCCATCTGCATCGATCCTAATTCCTGTAACAAATGCAAATAATAAATAATCAAATATTACTATACTTAACTTATAGCTCATCATATTTTACACATATGATCACAAAAATTATTTTAAGTCACATGAGTATTTTGTGTTTGGTATGGCGTCGTCAGAAATACGCACCAACAAATGTGGGGAACCGTGGGGAACCGCTGTTTGTGTATTCCTGGAATCGGTATGTGATGATGGCGCCGATCTTCGGGGGTTTCCGCCTCTGGGCATCATTCAGCCTGGAACAATAGTGGAACAATTATACTGTACTTTTCTCATTTACTTATCACAGAATTATGCAGCAATATTGACATATTCACAAAACCTTTTTTCATGTCTCAGATATCTTACGAATTCAATTAACAACTTGTGTCAAACTGATTGCAGTGTTCAACAACAAACAAACAAAACCATGCCATTGTTTTGGTTAAACGTACCCAGAGCCTACAGAGAATTCCTTTCCACACTCCATACGACAGCGAAGAGCACCACACACAAACTGATTCCTTCCTTTTCCCTTCTCATGGCCAATGACAACGGCCTGAAAACAACCCAATAGTTCATGAATAGATCGGACAATAGTTGATGACTATATTGTACGATAGTTTATGAATATATAATACAATACTTCATGAATTTCTTTCTGAATTTCATAAAAATATATACTTGTTCATGAAAACATACAGCAGCTCATGAATATATCATACACAATTTCATGAATATGTTGTAAAACTACTTCTGAACATACAATAGATAATGAATATACCATACAATAACTCATGAATATGTTGTACAATAGTTCATGAACATATTCTTACAGTATTCCCTCTCATGCAGATATAAGAGTGCATCAGATATCTCCCCCTTCCCACTGCATGAGTGAACATAATCCAACAGGCATCCTAAGTAAGAAGGCTGTTTAATGATGTATTCTTAATGTCCATACCTCTGCGTCATGGAACTTCTTCATTTTCAGCAGCGACGGTGACCGTCGTCTCTCATACTTTGACTTCGGTTCTCGCAGCATGACGCCCTCCCCACCGAGGTCAATGGCCTTCTCCAGCTCCTCCTCCACATGTTCCTTACTGGTACACTTGGTCTGCTCGCACAGAACCGCATACTTCGGTCTGAAAGTACACCACGATTACAGTCCTTGAAAACAACAACTACTGAGTAGCTTTCTGGTCTATGAAGTGTTCATGAAGAGCTGAAAGCATCTTATTGGTTAATGCCTTATATCTGTGAATTTTAAAACAGGTTTTCCTGAACATTTCATATGACTGCATGTGCCAGGTGAATTGATAAATAGGTATGTTTTTCAGGACCCATTTCTACTGAGTTGTGCCCCTTAGATGTGCCTGGATCTGATGGTCATTGAAATAAATCCTTGGTCATTGGTCATGATGCCCATTTTCAGATTTTACAAGACTAGTAAATATGTAAAACCTACATCACTAGCTGTTATCCATATTTAGCTGAGATGCTACACGATAGCTGAAATATTGTTAGAGACAGCGTTAACGCAACAAACTTATAACGTGGAGGACACTCACTTGGCTTTGTCGAAGTAACCCTGCAGTTCCTCGTAGCGTTTCTCAAAGGGTTGTTTCTCTAGGCTGGGAACATCAAATACCTGGAAATATATGATGAATGACATTTTCATCCTCTAAAAGCTGTTTTGTTATGAAACTATTATATGAAATTAAACATTCTCTAGATACATAGATATCATGTCCTCAGCTTTATGTAATGTTATGTTAACATAATGTTTGTGTGATTGCGAGACAGTGGCTACTTACATGATATGAGATCTTCTTCCACCTTTCATCCCCTGGTGTCTTTACGATGCTGACAGTCGACTGAAACTTGCCACGCCCACCGAACAGTTCACCGTCCAAGTGCATGTCTGTTGGTAGATCCTGAAATATGCCCGACAACAATAAGCAGCCTGCAGGACACATGTACTGCATGTAATATGTAACCACTTGTTTATAACATACATAAATATATTAATTGTAAGGACATTGACTTTTTCACAACAAAAATCTCTCATGTAATGTTAAATCCCATGGTTTATTTTAGAACTGAAACAACTGAACAGAGATGGCATACCTTGGTGAACCACTCAGGTGCGATGAAAGCATTGCCCAGCCTGGAGTAGAAACACCTGAAAATATGCACATAATGACAATCAAATACAAACATAGCAACTAAATGAGATTGATCATCAAGAAATTTAAGGATCAGAAGCTTAAATCTATTGTATAGGGAGACTCAACTCATTTTTAAGAACTTTATTTATTTAAGAAATCTGGCAAAAGTTACTGTTGAACTTAAATAAATTATAAACCAACCCTGATTCCCCTCTACCCCTAAGGATATCAAATGATCATTCCACAAAACATGGTAATGTGATTGTCAGGAATCTGATTATTAGATTATGTGACTGTTCTCATGTACCTTCCATTCCAAAATGCTCGAACTCCATCCAGCTTTTCACTCATCCACCATCCAACTGGGTTCGTTGCCCTGGAAACAAGTGAAAATGTTTAAAAACTCAAAATCATCTTGTAAAAATCATATAAATCATCATCATCATCATCATCATCAAAGAAAGTAGTAGTAGTAGTAGTAGTAGTAGTAGTAGTAGTAGTAGTAGTAGTTACTTACTTTGGGTCATACTTCTGGGCCAAGAGGACACTGACACTGATGTGTTGAGGGATGTAAGCCTTCTTCTTCTTGGCTGGCTTATCGGTTCTACTGTTCTCGAATTCTTCTCCGAGGTATTCCTGGAGATGCTTGCAGGTCCTATATTCTTCATCATGTTTCTGCTTCTGCCACATGGGGCACCTGTTGACACATGGCGACAAATGTGAGTGTCTAGTCTACAACTAACAGCCTGACAATAGATACACCTAGGGATGTTGTAAGCTGGAATATAGGATGCTGGATAGACTTTATACTATTTCAGTTACAGACCTACATGGGGCTTACATTCTTAAGTACTTAATCAAATATAAGTACCTGTGTTTCTGTGAATGTGGTAAGTATTGATTCAGCATGTGTCAGTATGTGCCTGTGTGCATGCCTGTACATATGTGTTTGTCTGTGTATGTGTGCATGCATGAGTATGTGCATGCATGTGTGTGTGTGTGAGAGAGATATGTCTAGAGACAATAAGAGGCTATTAGTGATGCAGGCTATTAGTACCCACGTGCACTCATAAATGTCTCCACTCCTCTTGATTCTTGCCGAGTCTACATCAATAGCTTCCCCATCCTTCATCTCGTTGAGTGGTGTCTTTGTCTTTCCTCTTGTCTTCTTCTTCTCGACATCTTCTTCTACAACAATTAAGAGAAACTTAAAACTCACATACAGTATATCTCTCTAAAAGTTAAGGTGAAATGTAAAGCTCAATATCTTTATGATAAATAAAAAAATATTTAAAAAATAATTTGTATTAAACCAAATACCAATCATAAATATTAGATCATATATATTGTGCTCCTTTAAGCCATTATATTGATAATGAAGAAATCAACCTTAATCATTATGTAATGAAGTATAATTAAGTATGGTACAAAAGCCCACCACATACCAGGAGCATCATAGTCCCCAGGGTGTATGTACTGTTTGAGATGGGATTGCCCTGTCTGGTAACACTCGTCCCAGTACTTGCACCTCAGTCGCACCTTCTTCACCACGCTCGGACCCGCCTCTTCATCGTCCTTGTCCTCTGACTTGGCTTTCTTGGATGGAGATGCAGCAACAGGCTCATCCTGTGAGCAGAATAAAAAAATTATAGGTTTATACTTAGTATGTTTTCACAGGAATCATTCGTTTTGGCATTTGTGGTTAATGTAATGTAAGTTAAATTTTATCATCATCATCATCATCATCATCATCATCATCATCACAACATATGTTACTATTCTCTTATCATTATCATTATTATTGTCACTCCTATGCATATACATGTATCTGTAGTATCATCAACATCATCATCATCACAATATCAATACAACTCACCTCCTCATCTTCTCCATCACTCTGACTCATGGCATGTGTTTTCCTCTTCAGTGCCTTTACGTCTTTTACTGGCGTTGTGTCCATATCGTCTTCCTCAGCTTTAGGGGCCCCGCCCATCTGGTGGACACACATTATATTATGAGAATGGCTCAGAAATCATGCACACTTTCTTCAGTTTGAGTGAGATAATTAAATACAGTGATTCTTATTAACTATCACGAAAAGTATACCAACTGAAATATATATTGTTGCACATCTTGGAAAATATAAAGGGAGATAACTCACTTTCACCAACTTTTTCGGGGTCTTTGATACTGCCGAAGCGCCGCCCATCTATGAATATAAACGTAAACATTTCTGACATTCATCTGTGCTAACCTGTTTCAATCTGCCCTGTGCGTAAAATCCTTATTAATATGCAAAGTGAAGACTCTGTATATTTACATAAACAGCATGCAAAGTTAATAACAATAGTGTGTAGATAATCATAACCAAAACGACTTCTTAAAGGGACAGTTTTCATGTATATACAGCTTACCTTTTCCTTTGGTGCTTCTGCTGCCTTCTTTTTCACCCCCTCCGCTTTTCCAGTGTCTGAAAAATCAGCAAAGCACAGTTAATATAACACTACCTCCAGAAAGCAATCGAAGCAAGCGTAAAAGGTATATGGTTTAAGTAAAAGACAACTCTTGTGATCAAGAAAGATATACATTACTATCATTCAGCTAAATATATTATGAAATTTTGCTTCAAAGCCTAATTACTGACGAATGAGGATCACTCGTTCGTGTCTGTTTCTGACCTCCCGCCTGTATATTCCCTATTATAGTACAGTGCAAGTGCTGTCCACATTTTTATTTCAGTAGAGATACACTTTCAGTTACTCTCAGGATTGTATTAAATCAGCAAATAACACCTGATACACCTGAAATTGAAGTGGTAAACTAACAGCTACAACTACCGGGTACCCCTTTAATGCTGATGATCACTCACCTTCCTCCTCATCCTCATCCACTGGATGCAGGAACTGCTTCCCGGTGCATCTCCGAGTTACGGAAACACTTGTCCCAGTACTTGCACTTTGTCGGAGGCATAACGAGGGATCTGTGTCATATAACAAATGTCATTCATCACTGACCACAAACACTGCGCCATGCCACAAAACGGACGTTAATCGGATCTTATCCCGCACTGTATTATCCACACGGCAGAATTTACCCAAGTGGATGTTATACCGTGCTATTTAGAACAGATTTACGACAGACTTTAACCAAGATCTCAATGAGGACCAAGGACACGTTTCACAAAGCGATCGTAGACCTTACATATGCATTCATTAACTTTTAGATGGATATATACATTTAAAACATAGCTGACAGGCAAATAAAGCTATGACTTACTAGAAGTGAAAATGCCCTCTAACTAATCACCTTTGAAAGCAATTCCCTATGATATGACAGAGTGAGTGAGTGAGTTTAGTTTTACGCCGCACTCAGCAATATTCCAGCTATATGGCAGGGGTCTGTAAATAATCGAGGTCTGGACTAGACCATCCAGTGATCAACAGCATGAGCATCGATCTGCGCAGTTGGGAACCGATGACATGTGTCAACCAAGTCAGCGAGCCTGACCACCCGACCCCGTTAGTTGCCTCTTACAACACGATAGATGCATAAGCTTGGTTACAAGTACGTCAAGCTGCCTAGAACCGCAGTAAACTTTCTGATGTTTTATTGACACTGTCGCATGATCATAGCGTCCAAACATCAACAAAAACCTTTTATATTTAGATTTAAGAAAGATGAATGGAAGCCACGGTATACATGGACAATTACTTGCGAACTTGTATTGGTCCCATACAAGAAAAGGATATTGAGAAGAAAGAAAGAGTAAGAGGTTCAGGTCAAGTCTGGACAGTATGCATAGGTGTCGGTACACCGCATTGGCTGAGAATTTTGAAAACGTATAATTGATATATACCATACGTATCAGCATCAATCAGTCTATCAATAAAATGTGCTGATGCCCTCTCTCACGAGGATTAAGGGGCACCAGATGGGTTGGAGGCATACTGTTCACAGCTCTGCAGCAGTTGTGGAAAGGCAACTTTTGTTCACCATACTGGCCGTAATATTATTTCTGTAACATAGAAGTATTTATCAAACTTCTCTGGCATAAATTATATGTCTTTGCACACGACTCATTCAGTCAGTATTCTGGATCGAGAGATAAGTAAAGCGTCCAGTTCAACAGATAGGACCGATGCGGTAGGTCCTTAGTTACTTGGTACAGATACCTTCGCTGGCTGCATCTACGGTTTAGGTGTCGGTACACCGTTTGTATAAAACGTATAATTGATATATACCATACGTATCTACCATAAACCTATCGATCAGCATCAATAAAATGTGCTGAAATATGACACGGATAGATATATAGACGGCCGGTTATTCAGTTCACCGTGTTATATTTATCAAGCATTTTTCACGATGAAAGCTTAACTTCAGCGGTTATCTTGCAGATACTGTGTATAGCGAAATCTAACGTTAACACTGCATTGAATATATTCGTCAATCATAATACTGGTAGTGTAATAACAACGGTAGATAGTCGTACACGGAAAGTAGGTTAATTTATTAATCAATCTTCCGCGAACGACTCGGGTGTACGTCAGTTTATTGTAGACAAGCTGACATTGACTGAATATGACAAAATACCTTCAAGGATACATACATATTCTAATCTACTAGTAACCAGCAATCGTATCAACCATTAAATTCTTACTTTGTGATTGCTGACTTTGCTTTGGCTAGCTAGTTCCCTGTTTAAGGTGTAGCGTTCGACTGACCGGGACTCGCGTTGAGCGCTATATATACAGCGAATCGTAGCCCTGTAATCGTGTTGATACATGTTTGCCATAGTCCTCTTCTGGAAACGCCCACTCGGCTGGTGCGTCGTGGTGTACATATCGATTATCTGGCGAAGATTAAAATGAAATAAAATCAAAGCATCAGGTTAATTTGAGTGCACAATTACTTTATCAAACATTTGTACGTTTACTGTTAAACACAATCCTGAAGATATGAAGTGAATATTTAGTATCAAAATATTTTTATGGACAACCACGACATAACAGCCATACCTGACGTCACCCCCTTCTATTTATATATGTTGACGTCGTTGTTTGGGAAATGTATTTTTAGCCTGGGGAAACACCTTTACGTGTTACAGCGTGTAAGTCAGGACAGCCTCGCTAATGTTTGCCTTATCGATAACGATAACCCTTTTCGTATTCAACACGTACGGATAGCTTGTATTGGTCAATATGTTCAACTGGATATTGAGTGAACCCATTTTCACGTTCACGTGTATTTATAGTTGGGCTAATGTGGACTTTGGTGAACAGTGATAAGTAGAATGTGTAAATACTGGACTAAGGTTCACACAAAGCCGATCAAGCATACCTTGACCTACTTGTTCGGCATACCCTTGTGTCCTACAGATAGATCACTACTGGACGGATATTTTACAACTGCTTGACACAGAGGTATAATCACCGAATAAACCAATTTCCGTCAGGATAACAAATATTTTCCCCTGTTATTTGAGCTCATTAGTATTTGAAGTCGTCCTACTACAGCACACTATGCCGTAAATGAGTGAAGATAAGTTAATTATAAGTGAGTTTAGTTTTACGCCGCACTCAGCAATATTCCAGCTATATGGCGGTGGTCTGTAAATAATCGAGTCTGGACCAGACAATCCAGTGATCAACAGCATGAGCATCCATCTGCGCAATTGGGAACCGATTACATATGTCAACCAAGTCAGCGAGCCTGACCACCCGATCTCGTTAGTCGCCTGTTACGACAAGCATGGGTTACTGAAGGTTCATTCTAACCCGGACCTTCACGGGTGTTAATTATAGGTAATTAGACAATGAGATATTTACTTGTGTAAGTACAGGTAAGATTCAATTGGACAGTGATGACAAGGAATGGTATTTGATGCTACAAACAAGTCTGTGACCATACAATACGAAATCGAGTTATTTGTGAATAGTTTCGATGTGTGCAAGCATAACAGGTTCCTTCAACTATAAACACAACGCATCAACCTTTTTTCAGCTGTCTTGGGACCGTTAATAATTTATGGCTAGTGGGGGTACGGTGGGGGGTTGGTGGGTGGTATGATGATGATTTATATGGACAAGCTAGTACAAAGTGAATGCCCTCCCCAAAAAAAAAAATAATATATATATATAAAAATAAAAAAATAAAAATAATAATAATAAAAAAATAAATAAATTAATGTGTAAAGTAAGTCACATCCCCCACCCTACATGGCATGTACAATGCCGCCCCCCTCATTAATGTTTAAGCATAATTTTTTAATAATCCTATGTACAGATTTGATGACCCCCATAGTACATGTGTACAAAAGGGATGACCCCTCCCCTACCTCCCCAGAACAATGGGTGGATCGGTCCTTTAGGTTGTGTAGCGTGAATCTGGTTCTTCCCCCTGTTGACAACATGCTACGGGTATTGGAGTTCTTCAGAAAATAGAACATTCGCTCGTCTCGTATATCGTCGCACCATTTAGCAGAACAAACCCACCTTGCACTGTATACTGTTCAAAAGTAGTAAAGCAACATAGCTGATAGCCATTACCAATAGCGGAGCAAGTTTAACATGAAGACAAAGTCATCAATATCCCCCGCAGTGGCAAAATACTCTTCATGAATATGTCTACGAGTTATGATTATGTCAAATGTTTTGTTGTGTATATAGAAAAGTGGAAGGAGAGTATTGAAAGGTTTTTAAAGTTCTGCTCCAGAAAGGAGCACTACCACCAGTTTCAGTCTAAGTCAAACTTGTTGGCATGGAAATGCAAAGATATTTTATTCAGAAATCCAAAACTACCAAAAGGCACCAGCACACCACCAGACCAATCTATGTGCCAAGTTTGGTGAAGAAATAGTGAACGGTTTTAGACTTCTGCTCCGGAAAAGAGCACAACCACCAATTTCAATCTAAGTCAAACCTGTTGCCATGGAAATGCCAAAATATTTTATTCAGAATTCCAAAAACTACTAAAAGGCACCAGTACACCAACAGATGTATGTATGTGCAAAGTTTGGTGAAGAAACATTGAACGGTTTTAGAGTTCTGCTACGGAAAAGAGCACTACCACCAATTTCAGTCCTGGAAACGCTAAAAATATTTTATTCAGAAATCCAAAACTACTAAAAGGCACCAGCACACCACCAGATCTGTGTATGTTTTCCAAGTTTGGTGAAGAAACATTGAACGGTTTTAGACTTCTGCTCCGGAAAAGAGCACTACCACCAATTTTAATTTAAGTCAAACTTGTTGCCATGGAAACGCCAAAAATATTTTATTCAGAATTCAAAAACTACCAAAGGCATCAGTTCACCACCAGATGCATGTATGTGCCAAGTTTGGTGAAGAAACATTGAACGGTTTTAGAGTTCTGCTACGGAAAAGAGCACTACCACCATTTTAATGTAAGTCAAACTTGTTGCTATGGAAACGCCAAAAATATTTTATTCAGAATTCAAAAACTACCAAAGGCACCAGTTCATCACCAGATGTATGCATGTGCCAAGTTTGGTGAAGAAACATTGAACGGAGTTCTGCTCCGGAAAAGACAAATGTGCACGGACGCACGGTCGGAGTCCATTTTTATACCCCCGCATTGCGGGGAATAATACTAGTACATTGTAATTGTTTTATGGAGGCCGCGGGTCGTTTACGGCGACGGTTTATTGAGTTGCCTCCCTTAGGCAAACCCGCTTTTCTGTAACAGTTGAATTCTCGTTTTTGTAGGTATATCGGTCTAGAGTTTTTGTAAGGATGTGTGGTGTCATGTCAATGTAGGTCTATCGGTCCAGTATTTTATGCACATGGGTATTATGTTTAAGTTTGTATTTCGGCCTAGTGTTTTATTTGACACTTAAAACCGCTATATGCACGTGAAACAGCCAACTTAATGCCAACTTCCATCAAAAGATGTGTCCTACGTGTCTTTCATAGAATGTTGTTGGTGCTTTCCCTTAAATAATAGGGATG